CCACCACCCCACCCCACCCCAAAAACACACAATACACTTTCTCTTTTTCCTCCCAAGCAACACACATACACGCGCACGTACATGGTGGACTGTGGATGGATTACACAGCTAATATGCAACACACAAAGGTTCTCCTGCAGAGGCAGACATCCTTCCACTGTGCAGAGAGACACGACACCCACCCCCCACTGGCAGAACTACTCTAATCCCTAATGTGTCGCCATGTCCTCCGTGCAGGAGGTGGGAGAGGGATGCTTTTGTATTTTCTTTTAAACCTGCTGCTGTAACCACAGAATACCAGTGATAGTAGCTTTTATATCTCATTTTTGCCTTGTGAAATCTTCAAACAGGGTTCCTGCAGGGTTTTTAAAACCTTGTAATGCCACAGAGAAGGTCATTTAATACCTGTTTTCATGATCATACCGTCCCAAGTACGATGGAAAACCAGTGGGTATGACATTGCCTTGACATTTTTATTAGTTGATCAAAGTTTATTACTTTCCGGCATTATATAACTAATTGTTAATGATGCAACATGGACCGGGATATGAGGCATAAAAGGATGGATGTATTAATCGATTAAAAATTATTAATGCTTTTAAGCTCATTTAAGTTTTTGCTAAAAATCAACACTTGCTCATTATGAGTCAAAGAGCTTCCTAGCTACAGTAGCTATTAGCAGTGACAGTGTTCTTGCTCAGGTCCGATGCTGATGACTCCAAAAAGGAAAAGGATTGAACAGCTTCCTGCGTTCACAATCCACTGTCACAACAACCCAATTTAATTAATAGTATGTAATATCTCCAACAGTCTGCCAGTCTGATACAATGACTGTCTATGGCAATTAAGGAAAACACCTGCGAATTAAAATTAAGATTTCTAAGCTTCTAAGACTTTTCAAGATCCCTGCAGATACCCTGTTAAAAATGAGCCTTCCTTCTCAAATTCAACACAAAATGCTGTAGTGTTGGCGATAAAGTGTTAGCGCTAGTTAGCTTTGGTTTTGACCAGATGGATGTAGGCCTGTTTGTAAAGGAGCCGAGGAACTGCCCTGAACTGGCTTCGAAAGCATATGTGGGTCGGCCCAGAGTCCTCTTCATAAGCTCTTTGTGACAAATGAGCGAGCGCGGCGATTGCTGCTGTGGTGGTCGTCAGAGAGAATACAGCTTTGTCAATGAGAACTCACAAAACAGCACTGACGTCTTAAAGCTCTTATACTGTATGTTGCCTTAGTATGACCCCCCCACCCACCCCACCCCCACCCCAAAACACACAATACACTTTCTCTTTTTCCTCCCAAGCAACACACATACACGCGCACGTACATGGTGGACTGTGGATGGATTACACAGCTAATATGCAACACACAAAGGTTCTCCTGCAGAGGCAGACATCCTTCCACTGTGCAGAGAGACACGACACCCCACCCCCACTGGCAGAACTACTCTAATCCCTAATGTGTCGCCATGTCCTCCGTGCAGGAGGTGGGAGAGGGATGCTTTTGTATTTTCTTTATTAACCTGCTGCTGTAACCACAGAATACCAGTGATAGTAGCTTTTATATCTCATTTTTGCCTTGTGAAATCTTCAAACAGGGTTCCTGCAGGGTTTTTAAGAACCTTGTAATGCCACAGAGAAGGTAATTTAATACCTGTTTCATGATCATACCGTCCCAAGTACGATGGAAAACCAGTGGGTATGACATTGCCTTGACATTTTTATTAGTTGATCAAAGTTTATTACTTTCCGGCATTATATAACTAATTGTTAATGATGCAACATGGACCGGGATATGAGGCATAAAAGGATGGATGTATTAATCGATTAAAAATTATTAATGCTTTTAAGCTCATTTAAGTTTTTGCTAAAATCAACACTTGCTCATTATGAGTCAAAGAGCTTCCTAGCTACAGTAGCTATTAGCAGTGACAGTGTTTGCTTCAGGTCCGATGCTGATGACTCCAAAAAGGAAAAGGATTGAACAGCTTCCTGCGTTCACAATCCACTGTCACAACAACCCCAATTTAATTAATTAGTATGTAATATCTCCAACAGTCTGCCAGTCTGATACAATGACTGTCTATGGCAATTAAGGGAAAACACCTGCGAATTAAAATTAAGATTTCTAAGCTTCTAAGACTTTTCAAGATCCCTGCAGATACCCTGTTAAAAATGAGCCTTCCTTCTCAAATTCAACACAAAATGCTGTAGTGTTGGCGATAAAGTGTTAGCGCTAGTTAGCTTGGTTTGACCAGATGGATGTAGGCCTGTTTGTAAAGGAGCCGAGGAACTGCCCTGACCCTCTACCAGCAGTTGTTCACAGGCATTAGTCCAAACTGAGTGTGCCAGTGAGGCAGTGGGGCTGGTGTCCCTAAAGGACCTCACGTCATTCTACTGGATTAACCATGCACCTTCTGTTGCCTTTTATTTACCTATCATTATGATACTTATCCAAAAAACATTAAGTGGTTATACAGTAAAATGTCCTCTAAATCAAACAACATCTACATACATAAAAAAAACAGAAACAGGTAACTGTCATGAGACATGCAAAGGAGTACAAATTAATTAAATGTATTGTCATGAGATATGGAAAGGAGTGCTAATTCTTTTAAAAGAAGTCTTTGATTCTTCAAAGGGCTTTCTACTCTGATAGTTTCTAACCTTTCATGGCCTCAAAAACATCATTCAACCTTTTACTGGTGCTGTGAAATGTTACAGTAAGGTCAAACTTCAATCTCTTTAATCTATGAATAGTTGAAAACAATGCATTTGATTTTTACTTTGAACATTTTTTAAAATCTCTCTTTTCAAGAGTTGTTGCAGCACTTCCGCTTTGAGAAACGGGCACTTCCTGCTCGATCCGTCTGGCGCTAGAAAAAATACACACTTCCCCTTTTTCTGCTGACCTTCAATCATTTCCTCTCCCATACGTGCACACATTGCACCACAGCGCCATATTGTTCTTTGGCCTTTTCAGACGTCATGTTAGCACCAATTCATGCTGATGTTTTCACTTTGAGTAAGTGCAACCCTTTCAAAATATGAGCGTAAACAAAAATATATATATATATATTTGTGGGAACCGGAAGGAACACGTGAGTTGCCGCCCATTCCTGAGGTCAGGGATAAGCTGGAGGGTGAAGTGGATAACGGGATGGCGTGCTATGACCTGCCCCAACGGGAACTCGCGATGACACCCACCAGGACCCTGAGCCGGTGCTGATAAAGCCACCCTCCAGGAAGCCTTCTAAAATTACTCTCCTGGCCCCCTCACTGCACACAGAAGTGACTCTGTCGGCCTGCTGCCATATCCACAACCCTTGACTCAAATCATATCGTGATATTTAACTCTCTTCTTCTTTTCCTTACATCACGTGCAAAAACAAACAAAAAAAAAACAAAACAATCTGCCTCCAGCACAGACTGCAGAGAAGTGCGCAGGGAGCTACTGCAGTCTCCATGCTACTGCCAAGACTGCTCAGGCGTCTTGCTAGTTTCTGTCAAGAGGGGAGGGGGGAGGTGGGTGAGAGAGACTGTCATTGTGAGCACAGTTAATATGAAGAATGAAGGGACGAGATGGAGAGACTGCTGCTGTGTCAGACAAGTACCATGGATTCATAGTTATGCGCTACAAAAGCATGCTAGAGAAGCAAAAAGCCTGAGCACTGTATAGGTGAAGCTGCGAGGCCTGTTGTACTCTTGATCTTCGCTGCTTATACCATTTTAGCAGTTTGTAATAATAGCATCAATTTTGAAAGTAGTTCTGAACTCAAAATATGATAATGAAAGCAGCCCAAAGTGAGCGCTATTTTCTAACCGAGTTCACATTTCCTCCATATAAATACGTAACTGGTACCACTGATAAGATTCTACCTTTGTATTACTTCACCCATACAGCGCGGCAGGTACAGAGCTCAGATACAGGGGTACAGACACACACACACACGAAAACACACGTGCACGAAAGCTTGCTGGACACACACACTTACCCCTCGCCTCAGGCTCCGGAGGCAGTGCATTTTGGGTTTGGAGGTCATGAAGTCGTTGAGGCGGTGGGAGAGGGGCTCCTTGTGCTGCTTGGGAGACTGGGGGTCGTTGGGAACAGCAGAGGGTGAGGGCGGGGATGAGGCTGGGGGGGCAGGTGGGGGCTGGTGGGGGGATGTTAACAGGGACATAAGCTACCAGTAAGAGAGGGAGCCGTGACGGAGAGGAAGAGGAGGAGGAGGAAAAACATGGAAGAAGAAGAAGTAGAAGGGGTCGAGAATCCAACGAAAAAAGACAAAGGAGGAAAAGGAGGAGGGAACACAAAACGAAATAAATAAGCCTCCTACAAATATTAAAAAATAAACACACAACAGAAAACCCAAACAGAACGTAAAAGACAACTGAAGGAATGTCAAACCTAGTGTATCAGTAGTTATGTTGTGGAAAAAAAAAAAAAAGTCAAACACATAACAAAACATAAAAACAGTTAAAAAGATAAAAAAAAAAGAAGAAAACGACCAGAGTGAGTAGGAAGCGTAAAATGTGTTAAAGCAAGCGGCTGCAACGAAGCAAACAGCAAAGAGTATCAGTCAAAGCGCATGCAGGCTTCCATTTTAGAAATTCCTTCTTTTTTTCTCTTGGGGTTTTTTCTTTCCCGACCTCATCGCAATCCGGCTAGGACGAGAAATCCACCACATCCCCCACCGATATCAGCAGATGAATTTGAGGTCATCATCAGAGGAATCTAATTGCTTATCGCTGTCCTAAAACTTCTGACTGCATAATTCATCAACCGGTTTTAGAGAAGTTAAAAGATGAAGCAGTGACGAGTTCTAAGATGCCGCACAATGCGCATGCATGGGCAAGTGAGTCAGAAACCCTCCTTTATAGAACAAAGAGACTCAGAAATCCCTAAAAAACCCTGGTTTCTTTAAGGCAAAAATGGTGCTTTTATACTGAAATATCAGTATAATGTTTTATTTTTGTATGTGTTTCTGTTGTGCTTGCATGCAGGTGTGTGCATGTACAGTATAAATACCTGTGTGTGGCTGTCTGTGCTCCCAAACACTTTGTATAGAAAATTAATCCTGAGTAGATCAAGTACATGTTTGGGAGTTTACACACAGTGGATACGATGAGTTTAAACACCATTTTCTGTACACATACAGTCAGTACGCTGGGGGTTTGTCATCTAGCATTGCACACACTTGCTTCCAGCATTCCTCTTCCCCATATACACACACACACACAGCCAGTTACTCACTCATGCTCTGATCTCATTCAATACCAACAGTGCCACCAGCCCATAAGACGGTCAGAGATCAGTTTTGCTGTTCAGAAGCAGGAAACCGAAGGAGGCAACTCGAGGCCGATCACCAGTCAATGGAAAAAACGGTGAAGGGAGACGGTTAACTTTAGATCAAGTTAATATGTGCCAGATGAGTCCGTCCACAGGTTGAAGGTAGAAATGCATTAGTGTGTGTTACAGAAGGGAGGCTCCAAAAATCGGTGAGGGTGATTGCCGGGAAGGAGGAAAACGGGTGGCAAATAATAACAACAAAAATGGCAATACCAACAGAGAGCTAGCAACAGAGTTCTTGAGCTTAACAGAAGTCAACAAAAGAATCTACGTATCTACATAAAAATGAAACTAAATCAAACACATAGCCACTACTAGCAATGTAGCAGATACTGCAAATGTAACATTGAACACATATATCGCTATAGCCACTGTATCACAGAGACATAACCAACATAAAGTAAAACAACCTACAATATCCACCCCACCCCATAAAAATTTCCCCAAGGTGCAATGTGGCCTCCAAATGTGCAAAACCAAATCCTCTGCCACCAATGAGGCTTTGCTGTGTGTTCGAGTGTAACTGTGACTCTTTTGTTAAGTGTGCATTCATGTGTTACCTTGTTCTTGTTCTTAATGAAAGGCCACAGTTTGCCCTTGGTCTTGCCAGCAGGCTTCTCCTTGCCCTCTCTGGGGCTGGACAGGCTGGTGTCAGACGCCGTCCTCTTCATGGGCTGACCGTAGTCCTCAAATTCCACATCACCCGGGGGCTCGAACCCAGACTTATAGGACTCCACCACCTGTTTGGAGTCCTAGTGGGGGGGGGGACAGTGGTCACAGCAATCAGGGAAAGTCTTATTCTTGATACATTTTATCTACTTTTTTAATATTTTTTAAACAAGCAATGTCTAAAAGGAGGATTTCTGTTTGTTTGGATTGTCCAGCTAATCAGCAGGTCTGGAGATGAGATGCAACGCAACAGCGACCTGGCGATTGTGTTGTTTGGAGTAGTTTCTGTCTGATAACAGTTGGTGAGTGTGTCATGAGAGGAAAAGGAGAGGGACTGTCGTTATTCAGCTTGTGGGCCACAGAAGAAAGAGGAAAAGACCTAAATCTGTCAGGCAGGAGTTATGACAAAACACTGAGGTCGGGGACACAGCCAGGCTCGTCAGACACAGGAAGAGGCACATTAATCAAGTGCAGTGTGCATCGACCTATCTGCACTGATAAGGGCAGAGGGTCTGGTTGCAGTTAGGACCCGGGGTCAAAGATCTGCTGTGCACTGTATATATGAGAGAAGAATAAGACACAGAGAGGCAAAGGAGCATGTGATATGTTATTCCCCGCTGTTGTTTACTGCAGCAGACAGTCACAGGCTGGAGTCATCTCCCTGGAGCTGGGCCATGCACACAGCTAGACACACACAAAACACACATAATATGCGATCCCTAAGGATACTCTTGTTTTTTGTCATACGGCAGGCAGCCAACATGTGACATCTCAATATATCACACTGCTCATTTTCTATTTAACATTGGAAAATTATTCCTTCTTTTTCAGTATCCAAGAAATAAATAATAAGCCATGGGACAAATCTGAAGCCAAGAACTGCATATTAGCTTCAAAGGTTTAGATTGAGAATAGCTCTGATCAACAGAGGGTTTAAACTAGGAAGCAAAGTGGTTGAACTTCCCCTTATTTCCAGAACAGGTACTGTGCAGGTATTTAAAACAGGGCCAGAAACGTTATTAGCTTTCCCATATCTGTCAAATTAAGTATAAGGCTACAGTCAACAGTCGGTTAGCTTAATGTAGCATAAAGACTGGAAACAGCAAGCCTGGCTATGGCTAACAGTAGCACAATCTGCCTACCAGCACCTCTAAATTAAACTAACTACACATAACCCCACATAAAATGACAAGTTGTTAGCCTAGTTAGCCTTAAAGGTGCTGGTAGGCAGATCCTATTGCCACTGACCAGAACCAGGCAAGCTGTTCCTGTTTCTTTATGCTAAGCTAACTGGCTGCTCACAGTAGCTTCATGTGCACAGCAGACGTTGTAGGGAGTAGTATTAATCTTCTCTAACTTTCCGCCAGAAAGTGAGTAAGCATAGTTCCCGAAATATCAAACTATTCCTCCAAATTTAATGGACTGTAGCGAACTGCACTTAGCAGCACCGCTCTGTGTATCCTTGTGTGTGTATCAAGAGTGAAACGTCCCTTGGAAGAGGGCCAGCACAGCCTTCACTATATGTACTGCCTAGCTCTCAAGTCAACCCTCCTTAGTTTCAACTACTTCCCTCAGATCTTCAGCATCTATGGGTGAAACTCATGAGCTCACTGACAGGTGCTCAAGGGGAAGCATCTTTGAGGAAGCTGGGTATGTGTGTGTACTCACTGATCACATCATATGAAACTAAAGGGGTAATCCAGAAATTCAGTACTGCTCTTTCATTCCATCTCACAAGACACAGATTAAAAAAAAATAATGGTAAAAATGAAATTGTTTGGGGCACCGCGGTGGCTCACCTGGTAGAGCGCGTACCACATTAGCTAAATCCTAACCGCAGCGGCTATGGGTACAAATCTGACCCGCAGCCCTTTGCTGCATGTCATCCTGTCTCTCTCTCACTGTCTCTTTCACAATTAAGGCAAAAAATTGCCAAAAAATAACTTACTTTAAAAATTAAATTGTTTGATTTTCTAGCTATTTGTCCCTCATTTCAAGTTTCAAAAATCCTGGATCCTACATTTCCCATAATGCATGTCAGTAGCCTCTTTCATTAGACTGCTCCTAAATACCTGTGTTTTTTCAAACCCCAAACCTCCAGTTTTTTTAAGTCTCAAACCAAAACTGAGAGATAACCCTGATGACATCATGAATGTTATTTTTTCCAGTCTTTGGAAATCTCCCTTCAGAACTACAGGAGACATTATCCAACTGTTTTCACAGGCTGTGTAGTCAACACGACAAGTTAGCTGAACTTCCTTAGTAAAGTCAGAGGAAGGCCCCTTTAAGGGGGACTACAGGGTGTATTTTTAGGCAACACAAAGCCATGAGAGTAGTTCATGGGGGAAATACAGCATGTGCATGCAGCACATTGATTTTCTCACTATAAAGGGGAGTTCAACACATAAATTGAATCATTTTATTCAGCTATTCTCTCAGCTACAACACGGCCCTCCCACAGCACTTTGTTGTTCACAGGTGGGTTGTTTTTTATTTTTAAAAAGCCCCCCCAACAGTACCAACCCACCAGCACACTTGTTGCTTTAGTGGAAGCCTAAAATCGGTGGTGTGTGGGCCTGAACTGACAGCCTGGCTGAGTGAGCAATATGTCCCACATGGTGTTGTGTGTGAGTGAGTGTGTGTGTGTGTGTGTGTGTGCACATATATCTCATTCTGTTTACTCACAGTTTTGGGCTCGATGGACTCGGCGGCTTTCGTCATTTCATCCAAACATTTCCCGACGATGGGCAGCACCTGGCGGTCCACGTCTGCAAACGTCTTCATGCACAGTCCTATCCTCTCAATCCGTTTCTCCTCCATGTCTTGAAGTTTCTAGGTAAAAATGCAGACATATTCGTACGTAAATACAAGCGTCACTAGCATCTGTTATAGAGTGAGTGGGCAGACCTTGCTTTGAAAATGAAACACTGAGCTTGGAATGAAACTGTCAGAAAGAGGTGTCTTTTGATATTGAGCATCAAAGATCTAACATCTGGGAAATCTCTAATGCACTTTCCATGTTTTAAATATATGACTCCTCACTGTCAAAAAACAGAACTTCAGAGGCAAAAACTAAAAAGAAGATCATGAATAAGTGGAAAAACTACTTTTTTTGTATCTCAAACTCTCAACATCTGTCAACATGCAGCGCACAGAACAAACAGCTTGTACAAAATAGCTCTTTATAATAATGGCTTGTTACCGTCAGTGTTTCCCACATGTTGAGAATTTATTTTTAGTTGTTGACCCAGAGGGGAGTAGGGGGTGGGGGGTGGCCAGCAAACAGCACTGTATTCACAAGCGAACTAATGATCGCACATGAATGCACCTTTGTGGCCAACTTTTCAATAAGTCTGCACTTTCAGCTACATTTGCACACAGAGCTTTGAAAGCTGATAAACACAAAATACAAAAAAAAAAAAAAAAACTTTTGGGTGGAGTTAACCTTACAATCTGATGTATGGGAAATACTGATTACCCATGAAAATGTAGGTTTGTTTAACATGTTTAAGTGCAATTATCTGCAGTAACAAATCAACTGAAGGGTGTTGTGTTTACCTGGAATATGTTGGGGATAATTGTGTAGTAATGGTCATTCTGCTCCTGGTTGAACTTTTGCAGGTAGGAGGAGTAATCGCCCTTACTGTCAGCAGCCATCTGGTGTCTCATCTGAGCTTGCTGTCGTGCCTGAAGAAAACAAAACACACAAACATGCACGTCACGGACACGCTCCTCATCGCTATACCTTAGTGTCCCCTGATTAACACAGACATATGGGTTACGCACACACACACATAGCCTGGGCATAAAAACCTATATGAGTTGACACATTTGTGCATACGAGTGTTCATGCATGCTCATGTACACACATAAACAGGGTCACAGGTGCAAACCCAAGTCGGGCAGCAGCAACAGCCTTTGGCGTAAGACTAAATGTAGGCCAGAACAAACATATAAACAGGGAGACAACAGCCTGAACTGGCTGCAGAATGCAGGGATTTGGATTTTGATTGCCCGCCCTGTCTAGCCTCTCTCTACTGTCGATAATGTTGATTATTTTAAGCTAGTTCAGTCTCAGGAAGGGAAGGCAGGCAGTCAGAAACGCAGCAGGAACAGCCTATTACAGATCCACGGCAAGCAGATGGAGATGAGATTATCTCAGCTAGACAGCATGTGGGGTGTGTGTATGTGTGTGTGCGTGCGTGTGTGTATGTGTGTGCTTGTGCGGCTAAGTGCTCATATCTGTTTCCTCTTTCTGTCAGATCTGTGTGGCCCGTCCGCACATAAATAGTGATTTCATTGGTTCATCCATAACAAAGAGTCACCTCATGAACCTGTGATTGCAATCAGCATTTGGTCTGCTGAGTAGCAGATGAACAAATACAACTGCAGCCATTTAACTGTACAGGAATATAACCCTGATCTGTCACAGTCCTGAGGGAAACATTTACAGGACTTCATCTAAAGACTCCCCCCCATCTGAAGCAAGAGTTAAGTCTCTCACGCTCGTGCTCACACACATATGGGTAAGTAATAGATGACATAATAGAAGAAAAGGAGGACATCAGAGCCGAGGTGCTTGTCAGACACAAAGGTACATTATGTCCAGCACATGAGGGATGACAGATAATACTTCAGTGGAAAAACGATAGTCACAGCCTACAAAAAAAAAAAAAATCCAGAGGAAACCTAAAAAGCACATGTGAAAATCCAGCTGTTTAAAATCTGCGTGCAGGCCTGTGAGCGTGCATTGATGGGGACGTGCCACGGTGGTGTAGGTGCATGCAAGTGTTCTGAAAGTGTTGACAAATGATGAGGGTAAACAACATCTCCATGGTAACCTGACATGGTGGCAGATAACAAAACCTTGAAACAAGCTGCTGCGTCTGCAGCCGCATCACATCCTGTTGTCATTTTCTGGAAATTACCGGTTTTGCTGTTACTCACACCTCTGCGTGCGTGTGTGTGTGTGTGTGTGTGTGTGTGCGCACCTATAGGTACATCTCTATCTAGCTGTCTGCATATCAATACATATCTTGATCTTAACAATACAGAGAATGAAGAGCAAAATCTGAATGGAAGTTGGTATGCAAGCTGACGCCTTACGCAACATATTCATTATTTCTCTTGTTTCATTTTTCTTACATCACACATATAAACCTCAGGGTGACAAGTGTTCAGCAGGAGACACGGAGGCAAGCCACTGATCACCGTCTGACAGGACAGGGCGTGTTAACAGTGAGCTGATGGTGGCTGTGTGTCAGACTCTACATGAGTGTGAGTGTGTGTGTGTGTGTGTGTGTGTGTGTGTGTGTGTGTGTGTGTACTGAGACACAAGTCGAGACAGTGTGTGTGTTCCCACAGATATAATAGGCTCTCTGTCCGCTGGACCTACCTTGTGGGAACTTCGCTTCAAGGCATGGCATAAAATAAATATACAAACACACACACACACACACACACACACACACACACACACACACACACACACACACACACACACACACACACAAAAAAACAAAAAAAAAGTTTGTTAGCCGTTTCCAACTAAACAAGAAGTTGCCATAGATGCACTTCCTTGGACCATCAGGACTGTCATCGGTCAAAAAGGGAAGCTACACAAACACAATAACCGCTAATATATAGTATTGTTGACCACCGTCTTGTGCTTTTAGTTAAGGCAGAAGAGAAGTGTCATTTTTCTAATTCTTTAGAACTGAGGATCTCCACAATAAGAAGTCTGTGAGTGTGTGTGTAAGAGGGCCAGGGGTCCGTCAAAAGAACTGGAACAGGCTTTGTGGATATCTAGGCTGTGAATCCAAACCCCAAATTGAGGGATTTTGTTTGCCAGAGGAGGGAAGAGGGAACAGTTAGAGGTTTGCTCCAGCTGCGGACAAAACCACAATACCTCAGCTCAACAAACAGCAGCTCTTTCGCATTAGACAGAGACATCACATTACAGACAACAGCAACTCCTGGAACTTAGCTTGTCAAAATAAATCTATGTCGAATGTTGATACTTTCTTCTTTATCGTTAATGACAAGCAACTTTGTTCAGGAGGTTAAAACATATAATTTCTTCATTAGTAACTCATAAAATCCTAAACTGGCCTTCAGCTGCAGAATACCAATGTACACAGACACAAGTACACACACACACACACACACACACACACACACACACACACACACACACACACACACACACACACACACACACAACTATGCCCACAAACATGTATACACACTGTTTCTTCTCTTCTTTTCTTGTCCAACACCACGCATGTGTTCTGTCTGTTCCAGACCTACTTACAACCCAAGGCTTTAACTATGACTAAAACACAAACTGGGTTGAGGTTGTGACATTTCATCCCTTCCGGTGATAAATACTCAGAGGCCCTCTGAATAACTAAAGGAATATGCCTCTGCAGAGAGAAAAACACACTGAGACACATGATCTGTTATTTTCTGTGGCTCAGTTTTATGGCCACATCCATTTATCACCTCAAAACAAACTGAGCACTTAAGAAATTATGATTAACTTAGCTGAAATCTAAACATGATGTAGCATAGCAAGTAACTACAGTTTATACTCTATGTGATACTGAGCAAAAGAACTTTTAAGACCAAGCAACACTGAAAGACAATATACAAATTAAACACTCTTTTACACACATCTGCATATTCACAAACTTTTTACAGAATCTAGTGAGAAAATTTGAGCTGATAGAACGGACACTACAGATACAAAAAGGGAAAACATGTACCAGTAAAGCACTTGTCAGAAAAACACACATAAGAGAATTTTTAAAAAATATATGGAACAAAAACCTTCCACACAATCAGTCTATTCTATTATAAGTTCTTCATTTGTGAACAATGGAAATGTGAGTAGGAGAAAATCGAGAGCTGAGGTCGGTCAAAACACCCACACAGAAAGCAAGAGGAGACAAAGCTAATGTTTGACGTTTTGTCGCCTTTATTTTCTGTAAAAGTTATGTTCAAGGATCAATCTGCAGCTTATCTGAGAGCGATATATTGAAGAGCATCACAATTACTACCAACACTATGCTGTCACAAAATCAAAACTCAGAGGTAAATTTAGGTACTTTTCAGCCATAATCTCTCACTGTGGGTCACAACAACATAAAAACCTACAGTATAGAGATTTGGAAACTCCTGACGCTTCCAAAGAAACTTAAGTTTCTCATTCAAAATGCTTATATCCGAGTCTATTCTTTCCGTGACGCTACAACAAAGGAGGTGAGAGGAAAATTATTATCACCAGTGGTCAGAAGGGCAACAGTGGTGAGAATAAGATCTAATATGCCACAGATAATGGATAATGTGGTAGTTTACATCGGTAGTTTCTTCCATTATAGAAAGTAGCTGTTCTTTTGATACCTGAGCACACGTAAAGCACCAACAGGTATTGACCTGAAACTGAATTTCAATGGCATCAACAGAAACTAAAAGTTAAGAGACAATGATCAGCAGAAATATGAAATGCACATTTAGCGTTACCACAAGCAAAACCACTGGTATGATCCTTGAGAGCCGAGTGACACATCTGCCATATTAAAGAGTTATTTAAATTATCACTTTATACAAACAGTGATACTAACTAGATGAGAGCAAAAAAAAAAACAGAACAGTTTCTCTTCCTTTTACAGAATTCTGAGTCTTTCATTCTTCCATAAATGGAATTATTGTGATCACAAACAACACAACTCTTGTTTCAAAACTAGTTTTTTTTTTTGAGCTGCTGTGCCGGGTCTTTCCAGTTGAGTTCAGTGTTAGCCTAAGCCTATTGTAGCTCTTTGGCTGTATGTCCAGAGTGCAGAAAGGCTCTTTATTCCAGCCTATATTTGCATAATAATCGGGTCTGAACTGTGTCAACTCGGAGCCTGAGCTCTGCTCCAACAGCTGATGAAGCAGCAGGAGCACGCGCTGCTGACCCATGATGCCTTGCGGCCGTGGGAGCTGTGTGGGTTAAAGGCTTCAGATTCTGAGGGCTCGTTTAATTGGTTATGACAACAGGAAATGACATCAGCTACAGCCCCAAGGGGCTCTGGTCTACAATTCCTAAGAATTGGATGATGGCTGCACGTGTTGATTTATTGAAGGTGACACATAGTCACAAAAAGAAAACACCAAAGCCAACTAATATGTATAATTCATATCCACATAAACTCACACAAGCGCCACCATGAACACACAGTCCTCTTTGTTGCTAAGGCCCGTACAGCACAGCAGCAGAGTGTTTGGTGGCTGCACTACACTGATAATGAGGACTCGGTGCTGCTATCAGCTTTGTTTAGCAGCAGATCGCTGCTGAGACAATGCCAGCTTTTACACACAGTCCCTGGCATCAAACACATGGTCAGTCAATCTTTACTGTCTTTCGAGCTCAGTGGAATGAGGAGTCAGGGCAGGGGGGCATGGGAAGGGGGTGGGGGTGTAAAAGAAAATGGTAAGGGTGCTAAGTGGGAGAGTGAGGAGGGCCGGGCAATCAGCTGTGGGGAAGCTGTGTTGTAAGCATGGAGGGTATGGGACAAGCTTTTGTGTGATCGGAGGCTGCTGCACAGGAGTGAGATGACACGTACCTTTTCCACATCAGCCTTAGTCACGTTAATGTCAGCGTCCATCTTCTCAAAGTATTGCTGTGCTCGGTCCGCCTCTTTACAGTCCCTCTCAAATCGTCTTTTACACTGGGGAAAAACGGAGAAAACCAAATTACTTTGATCACAGACAACAGCATATAAGTTGACCTTTTAATAAGCATAGTAATGGACGTCATAACATGTATGTATACGTCATATACATTTCAGGCCCAGCATTGTGTGCGACAGAGGTTAGTTTATGTCACTGACACAGCCACGGGGTCTGTCAGAGTTGCAGGCCTGCAGATTAAACAAATGTTCATAGAGGCCGTTTGTGTACAGAAAAACAAGCATTCATCCAGCCCTCTTTCGACCCCTCGAACCGAACAATCAGTGTTTGTTGGGCCAGCATGCACTCTGAACTATGCCTATCTGCCTCACACACACAATGGGATCATTGAACACACAGAGAAGTTTGAGGAGGACAAGGCAGTTATGCATCTCTCTCACACTCTTTTCTCTCCCCCGTCAAAGGGGCCAGGCAGAGATAAGAGGTGGTGTTCTGTGCAATCTCTCTTCTCGCTCCTCCACTAAAACAAATACGACAGACACTCCTGGATCTGCTCTTATCTACTTCAGTAATATTAAAGAGAATAACAAACATTTGGTCTACAACTGATGGTGAAAACACACACAACTGATATATTCAGCGATACTTCAGTGCTTCAGTGTCTGATGCAGTTGTTTCTGTCTTTTTATCTAGATTTACCTCAGGCAGTATTTTGTGTTAATTAGCGAACTGTCTTCATACATTCCTAGCATTGTCAGCCTGCCATCCAGGCAACAGACGTCATATATTATGCAATAACACTTTCATTAAAAGTTAGTTATAGCTTTATCATAGCCTTATTTGTATTGTAGAATTTCATCTTAATGTAATAGGGCAGCCGTGTATATTCATCATGTACTTATAAAGTCTGCCCTGTCCCCATTTTCCAGCTAAAGAAATGGAACATTGTTTGAGGTTTCTGTTGAAGACAGAACAGGACGTCCCTCAGGGCTCTGTACATGGTCCTCTGTTTTTCTTTTTTTCCATTTACAGACAGTTCTCCACGTCCTTAATGTTTTCCCTCCCATCATGGTCACAAGCCATCTCCCAAAGTGTCTGTTGTAGCATGAGCTTTTTTTGTGGCTCATTTGGTGTTGATGTTGATAACTTGATTTTTATCCCTTTATTCTACAGTGCTGGGCCCTAATGTATCTGACGTGTAATTCAACTGACAGCACATATATCTAAAATATAATGAGTGTGGACTAGTGTATGGTGTTCATTTTAAAAAAACATGGTAAACTACATTTTATGTCATGACTAAGGTTGGGTTCCGATAGCTGGATGTATTTTTTGGAAAAATTGTAAAATCTGCATTCATTAGCATCAGAGCTAACAAGGACAAATTTGGATATCACTTATCAAACCTTTTACCTCTCATCCTTCTGCATAAAACATTCAGGTAATGTTGTGATACTGCACACTGTATTATCACACTCACCGATTCCAGCTGTTTCCACGAGCTCTCGATGTGCTGCTGTGCCTTACGTCCATCATGGAAGTGCTGTAAGAAGAGTTGGAGAAGGGAAAGAAAAAAATATTATCATACTATTCACAAGCTTAAGGGATTTAAAAGCAGGTGAACCTGACCTTGACATAGTCGGGATAATAAATCATAAGCAGTGGGAATCAGAGTCTCAAACATACCATTAAACACTCTGAATATTACTCACGCTGTGACAGGAAAGTATTAACGTGAACTGTGAAAGTAGGGCAAATTCAAATAGATACTATACTGTGGCTGCATTAAAAATTATGACCATATAACCCACAAGCTTAACTCCCAGAGATTTGTACAAGCTCGAGCAGATGGCTATAAGTCTATTTGATTAAAGAGAAACCATATCATACCCCACCAGTTCAACACATGTGAATAAACACTGTGTTTTAAAACTCTAGTTAATTGTAACTTACATTAAATCACCACTAATAAAAATCAATAGAATGAAGACTCTATATCAGGTAGAAATTCCACTAAAATATAAATAAAAAATGGTCTAACATACTGTAGCTCAACTAACAATGAGAACCAAGGGACGGATAACAGACACAGAACAGATGCTGTTTTATGAAGTTATAAAGTCGCATGTTCTGTAAGGAGTTTGGTGCCAACAGCAAGGTTTATCCTCATGCATACATCCAAGGCACATTTCAGTGATTTCATGAACTCAGTACCTGTAACATGAATGGAATCTATACAATATTTGGAAAGGTTTGTAAGATAAATATAGAGTGCACACACGATGCATTCAGTGAAAAAGACAATGAACAACATTTCATTAGGAAAATATGTTAAAAGAAACTACTCAAGCTTATCTCTACTGAGGCCTAAAGAATGGAGAGTTTGTAGCCTTGCTAGCAGCATGTGTCTATTTATGGCAGTGTAGGGAATCCCCTAACCTTTTCTATAGGGCAACAATGTGGTTGACATTTGTGGTTTTGAGTGAAATATCTAAACAACTGTTGGTGATCCCCTTACTTTTCCTTGTTCCACTGTTGGACTTTCAAGATGTCCAACACTTAATAAATAAAACAAATAACCTTCCCATCAGCCCCAGCTTGTACTATTTTTAGTGGTGATTAGCAAATGTACTAAAATGGTAATCGTGGTAAACATTATACCTACTTAACATCAGCATGTCATTGTGAGCATGTTAGCATTTAGCTCTTTTGTTAAATGAAGAACTCGCATGTAGTGACTGTTGATGTTACAGTACTGTATGTGCCTGACTCTCAACACACATCTACATTTAATGTATATGAACAGACGGAGGAATAGAAAATATCCACAACAAGACAGTTACGACTGTTAGACGAGGTAGCAGGAAGACAAGAGAGGCCAACTGAAACACTGAAGCTTACAGTGAACATACCACAAGATAAAACATGAAAGTGTATGAGGCCGCAGATATAGTAATCTAGGGGGAGACAGACAGGCTACAGTGGATTCTGGAATATGCCAAATGTGGCATATTGGACAAGGCTAGGTGGCAGTGCTGATCTTAAACTCACACAGCTCATACACTGCGTGTTTTTATAACAGGCCTCACTTGGCCTTACTCACTCCAGGAGACCAGAGGACTTGGCCTGGAGGCAGAGCACATCTCTCTACAGCTCTCTGTGTGGATCACAGCCAAAAAACCCCTGGAAGAGGAAAGGCAGACCCACCAATTCTACCAACTTTGTTGTTTTTAAATTAGATTGCGATTACTTATAAAACACGCAAATGATTCCTGCGGTGCCTGCTGTCATGTTAATCTGCCAAAAAAAAGTGTCAAATTAAGATTAAATAACGCCACATAGACTCGACTATCAATGAGGTTTCCCCTGGTTACGCAGCCTGCGGAAGCTAGGGTCAGTAGCTGAGCTGAATATCGATGCTGCCATTCAGGCCGTTATAAAGAACAGAAAGCTGCTGCTTGTACTTCTCTGGAATTTCAGTGCTTGGACGGCACAAGGAAGTCCTCAGTATTCTGTGTATTAACTCACACACACACACACATACACACACACACACACACACACACACACACACACACACACACACACACACAGGAGATGTGAAATTAAGACTGATGCAGGAGACCTAAAGGTTAATCCCACCTGAATAACACTGGACATGAGAGCAGTAAGTGAGAATGCTCTCTGGTTTACCTCAGGTACTCGCACTTCTCATTTCCCAAAGTTTCGAGGGAAGCTGAGTGAAATAAGGAAGTGCTCCAGCGTTTCAGAGGAAGTATTTGAGCTCAAACAGAAAATGGGACATTGTGGAGCAAGTGAAGTCCTGTCAAGCCAACATATCATGTGTTTCATTTTTTCAACCGCTGTTAAGACCTTGACCTTCAGATTCCTGTTAGATAAGAACAATCCTTTCGATGATGAACTCTAAAAATGTCTTTCTAGATGATGATAAGATGCAGAGAAGATGCCATGAAGGCTTCTCACAACACGGACCACAGGCCTGGGTGACATCATTGTTAGTGTGAAGCATTCTTTCAACCAAATATTTGTCTCCATAACAACATTTCTGAAAATAATATCCAATGTCTCATGCTGTCTGCATCAACAAATCTTCCATCATAATGAAGATGAACAAACTACGCTGACACTCTTTCCCAAACACCTCCATCAGATTCAGAAGATCCTGCTGGAGGATAAAGGAGGATGCTTTGACCAAACCAAACAAAGACACGAGCCCCATTTACTTTCAAACACAATTAAGAAAAAAAGAGCCATTAGCCGTCTGGGATGCAGGTACACAGTAAATGCTGCAGCCATTTCGGCAGCTGTTCTGCAGTGTTGGTCTCGCTGTGTTTAAATTCACAGACTGCAGAGGATACACTTGGCTCGGCACAAGAAAAGAGCAGACGCACCCCGTCTTTCTTCCACTCATCCCTCTCAGTAACAGCATGTGACTAGCTGGCACTGTCAGGGACATCTGGGCAGCTTCAACAGGTCGGTGACCTGAAGCTGCCACTCTCGGTTACCAAGGTATTTGAAAGACAGCGAGAGAGAGAGAGAGAGCGAGAGAGAGAAAAAGTTTGATTCACCACACTAACAAATTCTCTCCAAATTCTGTCTAATAAAAGTGGGACTGGAAAATATGATCATTATCCATCCAAACACATTAGATCAGAGACAGCAGATTTAATATTTACTTAATAATGGGAAGCAGGCCTGCTCTATATGCTATGACTACATCTTCAAAGACAAAGGAATTCCTCAAGCTGGTCCCTGTAGTTACGCACATCCACCAGACTCCCTCCGGGAACCAAGACAACCAGAACCAAGACATGTTAGAATGAAAGAACATATAAAGTAACAGAAAACTGTGATTTTGTAGACTCTTGTTCTGGCAGCATCTTTCTCTGCATACACAAACACAAACATTATCAGTGTTCCAAGTGCGTGCACCACATTGTCTCCAGCTACTATCTGCTGTCGCCCTTATCTGCCTTGTTACTTTCCAGTGTCGTCTTTGTACCACACTGAGCTGAGGTGGGACAGACATGCACCCTTTGTGACTCACAAGCTGTCCACTCCACAAATACAATATGCTTTGAGCAAAACGAAGACATGGGGTGAAAGAAACGAACATCCTCTGCCGACTGAATAATAAGAGAGGAGCAAAAACTTCACTCCAGCACAGCATTTAAACTTTAGAGTTTACTTGTGTGACAGGTGTGACAGGTGCAACATGTACGTCTGTGCACACATCCACAAGATTTAACTGACCTGTCAGTCATTGACATGATTTGGTTCACAGGAATGTGCACCTGAAGTCCTGTGCAGTTGTCAACACACATATAATCATGAAATACGAAACCTCATGAAAGCTCCACTGAGACTTTCCTCCTCATGTTTAGACCATTAAGTGACGAGAGTGATCCTGCAGAGGTTATTCATACTGAAGTCTTCTTCTTTTTGGATTGACATGTGCATTCAGCGACTATGGCAAGATCCAACGATCAATTCTCCCTCTCAGCTTCCTATTTGTCTTTCCACTCAGCACAAGGAGGCATGTGAGGCCACTCCAGAGAGACACATTGTTCTCACACTGTGCTTGCATCTCTCCTCTCTGCCTCTCAGAGATAAATGAGGTGAGCATCCTCTGCCAAAACCCACCTAAAGATGTTTTATAGCGCATTATGGCTTTCAGCTGACTTTTCGGTAAATGCTTTCCTAGCCTTGGCAGCTGAATAAGATGTTTTTTTTTTTTTTCTTTCATTTTTTCTAGCTGGTTGAACTTGTCACATCGCAGCAGGATAGGACAGATTCAACTTCCCCCGATGCCAAAAGATATAATTATGTGCTGTGATGGGGGTGCAAGTGGATACAAAAGAGTACACACAGGACTAACCTTCACGTGGACTCCTCCACTAACCCATACAGTAATTATATTACAGTGACATTTATAAATGTTACAAGTAACTGTTACAGTCATGGGAGTGTTTAAGGGTCTTTATAAGCCCTCATGGACAGCAGTGTGCTGACTGAACACCTTATTATGATTCCTCAGCACAATCACAGTCCAGTGAGGCTTAGGCTCTTCATCCCGTATTAACCCTGCCTACTCTTCATCTTTACCTATTATACTATTAAGCAGAAACAAGCCCTGCATGGCCAATGGGAGGGTATCTCCATCAAGGGCGCAGGTTTGCATATGGACAGTAGGGACATGTCCCAACCAATATTTTGGGAGGACAGAATTGCCCCTTCTAATATTTGAGTGAACTCATTCGCACTATGTTTGGAGTCATATTAGATAACTCCGATGTGCCCTCCCAGAGGCTACGTCTCCATGACGACTGAAATCATTCCCTCTGGCCGTGATGCCCCAAAAATGATTGTACTCCCTACGGCCACCTGAGCTGTCAAAATCTCGATGTTGCTTTAAAAGCATCACTGCAGCAGTCCTTGCAGCTTGGATTGGTTGTGCACAAAAAAATATACTGCTAACTTCAGACTAACGAGTTGACTCTCTGCAGCGTTGGCAGAATTTTACTGTAGTAGCTGGTCAAGGTGCTAGTTTAACTAGGAGCTAGTTTTAAATGTAAAAGCAAGGGGGGGAGGGGAACTGCAACACTGGTAGACCTACTGAATATAAAAATGTTGATGTAATTTCTTAAAGTTTACTTTTAGTCTTTATTTAGATGTATACATATCTTATACAAATATTCGGCTGACAGCATGGAACAGTCCTTGGAGGGGTGGCGGGGTTTGTTTTGTCCCTACTGCTGAGACCAAACCTACGCTCTTGATTTCGATGAGATCAGGACACTGTACGTTTACATACGTATATCTGAATCTAAAATGATGAATAAAATGTGTTTGCGTAACACATGTGTTTGTGAGAGTACCCTCTCCAATAAAACCAGGTTCCACTTTTGTAAAAGCAAGTATGTCTGCTCTGAAATAAAATCCTTTAAGACAACATTCTTGGCCTCACCTCCTGTGCCACCCCCAAGCTGAGCTTAGTGAGAGGTTCACTCAGGGAAACAGCGAAGGGAGGTGGGGAGAGTTACAACCCCCCCCCCCACACACACAAGAAAATAATGAGGTATTATTATTTTGTTCTCCCTCCCTGGGTTTGTAGTGTGGATTTTTACCTGTCCAATAAGCTCTCTACAACCCCAGGAGGCCCTGACCCTCCTCCTATCTAATCCTACTGTCTGGGTTTTGCCTGCAGAGCTGCTGTGTCTGACAAACACAAAAAGCACCAACAGGAGAGAAAACACTGAGTGGTGCTTAAAAATTCATGTGAGTGAAACCAGAGAAAAGAACTGACGGGAAGCTCGGGAAGTCGTGAGGCATGACTGCTTTACAATCACCTTTCAGAATATCACTAACACTTATAGGGTTATAGACAGACTTGCTATGAAACCCTGAGTGCTTTCTTGTAAAAATCAATTTCGATGAAGGTCTTTTTCTCTGTAGCTTGGGATGTCTTTTTTTCAACACTCGTTGTCAAACAGTGTCATCCTCCATCATCCGTGAGTTTATTGAGAGAGTCAGTATGACTTTGAATCAAAACTGAATAAAAAAGAATTAAAAAAAAAAGCTTAATGGGCTCCATTTACCCAACGAGGACACTGTTCTGAATACGACTAAGAAACCATTGGCTCAGATGAAAGAATCCTCTCTTCACAAAATATACTGCGAGTTATGGTGTAATGCTATGAAGGGAAACCCCCCCCCGTACTGTCTAAACTGAAGAAACAGTGTTGTTGGCTTCTTTCATCAAGACACATGACGAGCTATTCACAACATCAGCCACAAGAAAAGATGCTGAGAAAACATGGAGTGCAAACGTTGTGAAGGAGGTGGACAGAGGGGAGAGGAACGGCGATGTGGATAAATACAATAGATGAAAGGTGCAGAGAAATGAGGAGGAAGGGAGGTGTCGGAGTGACATCCTGCAGCCTCGGGGGAGCAGGGGTCTGTTGAATGACCCTCTATGACAAAAGCCAAATCTGGACCAGACACTAGACACAGACTGCTGCCTGCTATCCCAGGCCAAACCGAGCCAGGCTAAACCGAAGCCAAAAGAGCAAAACAGGCTTGGTGCGCTAGATGATTCCCCTTTGGAAGCGTTGGAAATTCCCTCTCTCTCTCTCTCTGTTTACTGCAACTAAACTAGAACTAAAATCAAAACTGATCACTAATAATGTCACCCAGGGGATTCCTGTATGTAGATATAGTAGCAAAAGCAGCAACACTGATGAACATATACTGTAAAAAAAAAAAAGTCTTTGTGCCCTCTGGTTTTGGTTTTCCACTCCAGTTCCCTCAGCTGGACTTCCGTGACACAAGAGTCCATGACAGATTTTTCAGAAAGTACTTTTTTCCAGCTGGGTAGCTTTTCTCTCTGCTCCCTCACCAACTCTATAGGATTTCATGGGCACCACACTGTTATCTATTAATCATGCACTGCAGGTCCACCGCTCTTCCAAATCGCTTTATACTGGCGAGGAGGAAAAGTGACTTCAACATTTAAGAATAGCGTACAGTGTGTGGTGCACCAATTATTTTGTAAGTTGCTTTAAAAAAGAGAAATAAGGCTGTAATGATAGAGAGAGAGAGAGAGACGATGACTTTGTTCCATAAAAAGGACGCAGTCAGTCATGTTGTGCGCTTCTGGCGAGCCTTTGGGTGTATCTATATTTACTCAGCGATGACCTCAGATCATGGAGAATAGAACATGCAGAGGAAATGGGCTACTTAAGTTTTTGTAGAGCAGTATGTCTGTTTGCCTTTACAGAATCCATGAGTCTGCTGTCTAAACTAAATGTTTAATTTAAAGCACTGGCACTGGTTGAAGACAGAATTCAGATAACATAGGAAAAATCACTTGATATGGAAAGAGTGCAACAATACAAAAAGATGCCTCACCGATTTTCTCTCTGCCTTGAGTTCCTGCAGGTAGCGTGAAAGCTCAGAGATGATCTGTGATGTTAAATTCTCCGCTATAACTTCGTGTTGACCTGCATAGTCGTTTAACTCGTTAAGCGACGTCAGGAAGGCTCGACAGAAAGTGTACCTGAGGTGACACAGGAAAAGATGTTAGAGGAAAGAGTGTAGCTGCCAACACAGAAACAGAAGTAATAGATGGTTTTGAACATCTTAAAAGGAACAGTTTGACATTTAGAACAACTGTTTTCTGAAGTAAAATGAGAAGATCTATACCACTCTCACATCTGTCCGTTAAATACAAGGCTATACTCACTATTTAACAAGTTATCTTGTTTGTATAATCCTTCCAAAAACTAAAGTGTAAAAACACAAAACATAAATTACAAACATTAAAGATAGATTTACTTGTTATCATTTGGGTTTTACATAATTTGCTTAATTGTAAATATATTAGAAATTTGCAGCTCTCCACCCTCCATCTCGTGTCCCTTCTCTTCTACCCCAAGCAAGACATCTAGTTTCAAAAGCCTAATTATTTTAGTTCATACTGAGATCATTTCTTTAGTGTTCGACTGAATCTCTTTAATTCATTTCTGTACATCAAGTAATTAACAAACAGAAAACCTTGAGCAAGGCAGTATTAATTCATCACATAAGTACTACTTGTGTTGTGTATAAAATGTCAAAGTGAAAAACAGCACATTAACATATTCAAATTGCTGTTATTATCTGATCAACAGTTATAAGATGTTGAGTTTAGCATCATAGAAAATTGGGAAACTACCAAATATTCACATTTGAGAAGCTGGAGCCAGAGAATTTTAGGCATTTTTGATTAAAAGTCACTTAAATTATAAATCAAATGGTTGCCAATTAGGTGCTGTCTATCATCTCATTTAACTCTCCACAAGAAAGCAACAGCATATTTCCCAAATGTCAAACTTTTCCTTTCATTTATTTTGGGAGCAGGATCCTTTGACTCACTTGCTCTCCTCCTCTTCTCGCGAGTTCTTCTTGGGTTGATACTTCTTTGATAAATTCCTGTGAGGACAAAGAGTTCAGCATCGTCAGACATATTTTACTCTGTCTTTGCTAAGAGCCCAGCCTGCAGATGGGCCGAGCACCATTACCATTATACTTCCCTGACACTGCCCTTATGGACCTGCCAGAGGATCATCCAGTACACCATTCAATCCGGCAGAGTGCTTTCTGCTCCTGCTGCTACTGTACATCCCCTCTCCTCTCTTCAGGACATAAATCATCGCCCCCAGGGGAACGCATGCAGAACCAGTCACCAGAAACAACTATGCTTTTCTTATGCAGCCATTGCCCTTGTTTTGACTCTGGCTCTATGTTACTGGCACGACATGAGTGCAGCATGTTGATGTATGGTGGAGGGAGTTGTGTGAGGATGAAAGCAACCGTGTCGGCTGCAGGTGAAGGGCTAATGCCGGGAATTAGCTGCAAATAATAACCCCTTGTTATGATCCCGACACTCTTTCAACGTCCTTTTCTCAACCTAGCAACTGTTGTGTTGTTTGACATCATGTCCCGTTTGTTTTATCATGACAGCGTGACAAGCTCAACCACCCAACTGGAGCTCTGTCAGCAAAACATAATAACTTGCACCATGCTCTGATGGATTTGGGTGGCCATTGTGTACTTATGCCTTCAGGATCCTTTGATTAATTAAAGAACATCGTTGTCAAGTTATAAATGAACATACGAAAAAAAAAAAAAAATCAGACTGACACAAACAAGACAAGCCACATTTTAACTGTCTGAATGTAACAAGGCCTACATCAAAGCTGTGACTAATAGCGAGTCATGCTGTAATTTTTCAGCCATATTGTATTTATGTATTACAAGTCAGTCCAATGATTATTAGACATTTATGTTGCATATCATAAAATCTTATAACCATTATTAGTACATATTTAAAAACACATTACAAAACGACTGTTTTAAGTTAGTGTTAATTACTTAGAAAGAGCTGATAATAGTGAGGCATAGTTGCCCTCGTTGCGAGATTATAGCACTTTACCCACTGATGGAATCTAAATGCATCAGCGTGTACATGTTTTAAACAGACGTTCTTAATCCCTGCTGAAATAAATAATACATGTGTTAAAAAAAAAATACATGTAATGTGTGTCTGCACTCCATCCAGCTCTCTCTGCCCACATCCCCCACGCCTCTCCTCCCTGGTGGTGTTTGCACTGTTGCTAGGCAGATCTATCTGTCTGTCCTTCTCAGCCCATCTCTAATTATAGTCCTAGTTCGCACTCCCTCACTCATTCATTCACTCACAGTCAGATGTTAACTCTCAGACTGTATGAGCCTGCTCGCCTGAAAAAAACATATTTAAGAGAGTTGTCCAAATTCAGCAGCAGCTTGCACTTAATTAGGAGGATTAAAGGAGCGTTGTTAAGTGTATATTTGTGTATGTGTGTCAGTTTGTGTCTGTGTCTGTGTGTGCAGGATGATACGCTATGAATCCATGGCTTACTGGAAACTTACTGGAGGAAAATGCCTATACATACTGGTTGATAACATGACCGCAGACTCTTTTTTTCACCCTCACCCAGTCTCTTTTGTTCGCGGGACTTTATTCCCACTGTGTTATGGATTATGCCAGACTGGAATTTGGGGGAGGAGGAGGAGGAGGCATTAATGCATTGCCCTGCAATGACTAGACTGAAGCATTGTGCATGTTTACACCAATGCAATGGAAGAGGATTATTCATGGATTAGTGCAGTGTGTGGTTGGTATGGTGATAGAAATGGTGCAATGTAGAGTAATAGCCATAGATTTCATTCAGTTTGCGAAACTTTATTTGCAATTGTATGGGAAAATGCTGAACCACAAAGCTTTTGATCACTAACTACTCTCCTCTGACTGGATCTATTCTGCAGGCATTTTATTGATCTGACAGATATTTACTCGATGAATTATTCTGTCTATAAAATGTCAGATAATAGTGAAAAAAAAAAATCACAATTATTCACAATCTTGATTTATCAAAGCCCAGTGTGACATCTTCAGACTGCTCTTTGTTTTGTCTAATCAAAGCTCTACAACCCAAATATATTCAATTTACTTTCGCATAAGTCAATGAAAAGTAGTAAATTCCTCACAAGAGATAAGCTGGAACCACAAAATGTTTGGCATTTTTACTTGAAAAATCAGATCATGACTGAAATCTATTCATTTTGCCAGTGAGCCAGCACCGGGAAATTCCAGTTACAGTATATATAATGCACCCATTATTAATGATACCAGTTCCACCTGAGCTTTGCCTCTTCTAACATGGGAAAAGCCCTGTGTGAAAAGGTCTATTATCACTAAAAGGGAAGGAAAGAGGGGACGGAAAAATCTCCCCAACAACATGGATGAGAGAAAAAAGAAGACTAGATCAAAGAGCCAATTCCATTAGTTTATTAGATCTAACAGCCCATGCGTTTCTTTCGGTCTGAGTGTGCCCGTTAGATTAAACCTGATTCCATGAGCTAAGTTGATTACAAAGGATAATTAGTCCTGAGGTACGGCCAAGTAGCACGGCAACAAAGAAGCATAGTGTGTTGAAAACACAGGAAAAACCTTATGACTCAATCTGTCCTGCCTGCACGTCCTAATTTCCTCATTTTAACCTCTTCTGACAAGTGTACCAATGTGGACATCCGTGTGTGTGTGTGTGTGTGTGTGTGTGTGTGTGTGTCAACCAAATAACACACCCAGTTTGACAGCGGGCCGTCTGTGTAAGCACAGTGACTGAAAACATCCGCACCATCTGTGGAGCCTTAAGTTCAATAAAAGCCAACCTGCCATGGCAAGATGAGTCTATGCCTGTTCTTTTGTCTAACATACTATGGACAGATGCTGACTGATTGAATTATGGGATGTCTGTTTGTGTTCAAATGCAAGTGCAAATCTGTAAAGACACATGTTATTGGTCCACAATAACATATAATAATTTAACAATATTTGTTAAAAACACTGCTTTATCTTGGCTTTTCAGTTTTTTTTTTTTTTGGATAAAAATAAGAATTATTCACAAGTGAATAAATGCAGTTTTAAAAAAAAAATAGAACAAAGTTACGGGATATCCACAAATATAACACAGTATTTGTTGGAAAAATATATATCTCTGTTTGATATATTGTGTCTTTAAGTGAAAAGTTGATGGGTGCAGGGGTATGAGGATAACGCACGCATGTAAACACAGGCAGCTAGTCCAATTATCTCAAGATGATCTGATTCTCAAAAAGAGGAGTGGTGCTGTCTGCAGAGGATCTGTTACTTGGTCTTTGCTATGTGAATGCTTGATTGGTATTGGCTAGTTGCTGTGAAATGGGGGGTTGGGGTCAATACTTAGGGCATTAGCCATATTGCCAGGCCTCTTTAAAGATAGGGATTGTGGATTTGGTGGTGTCTCCCACTGTGTTGGGATGCTGGGGGCCTTAGGAGATGGATCCTCTCAATGCAGGAGTGCTCATGCTCATGCTCATCGCTGCCCTTAAAAAAAAAAAAAAATCAGTGACTGCACCAGAAATGGAGGGGGTGGAGCAGACACTTGTGGTTGGAGGAAAAAAAAAATCTGGGTCAGACCTGGGGTTGATAATGCTGATACCTACTGGTCTCTATGGAAACACAAGCTCCACCCCATCCCCCCACAACCTGACTTCCTCTTCCCTGTAGCAGAATCCAGCAACAACAGCAGACAGCATGCATGCACGAAAGAGTGGCAGACACACACAGATTCTTCACAGACCAAAAAAGGATGGGGGGGGGGGGGCAGACATCCTCTTCTGCTTGTTTATCTAACTCTACACTTGCATAAAGCTGTTCTGCTTCCCTGCAGAAAAATAACAGTGCTACTATGAAAATCTGATTTATTTTATTTTTTTTTAAAATATTAATATAAATATAACGCACTATGTCCCATATGGAAATTCCTGTTTCAGTCTCCCGCTCCAGAGAGAGGTCAGAGGTCAGGGTCAGCGGCATAATGAGCTGGTAAGGATCCAGTCTCTTGTTTCAAGGACACTTGAGTCGGTCAAATTCTGCTGTAGAGGGGGATTTCTTTATCTAAGCCATCTGGATGGAAAACGGCCACCCTACTGCACTGCAACCCCAAATATGGATCACAGGTCAGCTGGAGTACTCACCTAATTTGTTTTGCATAGCTGGTTTCAATCTCTGATCGCTCCTTGACAAATTTGGTGTACTTCTCCACAAACTCGATCCCCCACTGTGTATGCTTCTCCAAGTTGTCAAACTGATCCTGCAGAAAAAGAGGAGACGTAATGATTAAATCAGTCAAGTGCAAGAGAGATAGCAATCTGTCATCATCACCCAACTCATCACAGATTAAATCAACTTGATGAGGACTTTGAGTAGTATATGTATACTGTATGACCTATTGCACATAGTTGACCCCAGTTTTCATCAAATACTACCAAGTATCCATCTTGGTATTTGAGGATTACACCGACATAGATTCTAATTAGCATCTGAAAATTCAACTTCAGCTTTGTGCTTCATTTGTCATCGAAATATTGTAGTGTGTTTATTCTCAGTCATCGTCCGGCACAAGCATGTGACCCACTCTCTTAGCTGCAGTACAGACATTTCAACACCTTCAAATTTTCGGTTCCTGGCCTTTGACTGTGACTGTCCACTCCATGATCATAAGATGATCTGCCGATGTGACAGCTGACAGATTTCTCTTGACATCCTTCATTTCTTTTTACACTGAGGTCTGTCACTGAAGCCTATTGTGGTTCATAGTACAAAAAATAGGACCTAACTGCCCTGCACTACTGATAACCAAACACAGCTGTTCAGGCTGAACTCATTATTCATGATTTGCTCATGACTTGTGAGGAAAAAATTAGCCACTGGTTGGCTGAGGTAATGCCTTGAATTTCAGCAGTTCAGAAAAGACAGCGTTTCATCTGGGACATCAATTACCTCTCACACACACATACACACCTACCTACCTAAGATTTACTGACAAGCATACAGTTACTTTTAAATGATTGTCTTACACAGAGTTAGTATCATTTTAAAGATGAACCAAAAAAAAAAAAAAAAAAAAAAAAAAAAAAAAATGACCTTGGTGTAGCTCCAACAGTTCCCCATCCTCTCCTCTACCATGTCTGGAGTCCAGTTAATAGTTCCTCTGGCACGACACACGGAGTTTGTGAAGTGTCAGCACGCTAAAGTTTCGCCTGATTCTCTGAGCAAACCATGCAGTGGGCTCTACAGCCGCTTTAAGCATGTCTATTACTCGCCTGCATCACAAAAAGAGATCGAGCAAGTGGTATTCAAGTTGCTTCCTACTCATCTGCTTTAGGCATCTCTGCACTAAAAGCATTTTCACATCAAAGACACAGGAAGCGGTTGTGGCGATGAAAAGTTACACTATAGCCTTTCACAGTGGTGCAGCAATTTGAGAGATCTTCATCTTTTCTTTTTTTTTTTTTTGTTAAAATTTGATTTTGCTAAAAATTGTAGCTTTAGTGAAGCCACATTATGTCATATAAAGTGTGATGAAAAAATCTCTTTAACACCTTTAAAACAGCATTCTCAAAAAACTTCCGATTGAAATAATCAAGGAAAACAATAGGGAGTGATTAGATTGTGTGAGGGGTAGGGGCTGGGGGGGGCTGGGGAGGGGGCTTTCCAGTCTGCATTGTTAGTCAGTTTCAATGAGCAATCACTCATCAAAAGGCCACTCGAGAGAGGAATGACAAGATAAAACCAAACAATTCACACACATTTCAGTGAAATAATGAGACAACTTCTCGTCTTTGTTTTTCTCTGCCCTCAGACACCTACCTTTTTCTTGTTTCTACAACAAGTTTCCCCTTCCCCTCTAAAGCCCAAGAGCATGCTCACTCCCAGGCCCATGTGCCAATTAAAGTAATCAAACTGCATTCGCTTCATTATCACTAGACCTCAACCACTCTCGGAAGAAAAGACACAATAATCAGCCCACGTCATGTCAGCCACAACAACAAGCACATGAAACCCTCCTCTCTCTCTCTCTCTCTCTCTGACACACACTCCTTCACACTCATAACTCAGATTACCCTTTTTTGCAGGGGCACCATCTTATCCAGTGTGTCTCGACGAGGAATGTGTACCCTTGTGAAATATCCAAATGTGGTAAATGTACATCCAACTCGCCTCCAAAGCAGCACAACAAAAGGCTGAGGTTATGTTAGTGGAGGCATCCACAAGACCATTTCCCAGGTATCCAGAGCAGAGCAAGTGTGAGAGCGAGGCTGGGTTGGGAACAATGTCCGCTGACCCCACTCCCACACTATAACAAAGAAACTGTGCAGTTGCAGCAAGTAATTCCCGAATGTCTGGAAGAGGCAAGAATCCCAGAGAGCAGAGGAGGAAGCCAATGCAGCACTGGCTCACTCACACTCACACACTCACACACAGACACACACCACTCTGAGGCTGAGGCCACGGCTGCCCACAGCATAAAGGCTTAATGCTCCATCAGGCGTAAGGTGGAATAAGTGGGATGGGAGAGAAGGACAGTGAGAGAGACACAGAGAGAGAGAGAGCAGAAAAACAGAGGGAGGGGGCTTGAAAGGAACAAAAATGACAGAAGAGGCGGGATTACATGGGAGGGGATTAAATTTGGAAGGGGTCTAGTCCATGCTGCTGGGGCCTCATAAACTCTGTTTCCCCCTAATTTAATTTATATATAAAATAAAACAATAGTATGAATATTAAAATCTGCAATATGATGAGTCATTCTGAGCGTATGAATCTTTAATATCAGATAGGACAGAAGAGTTAGTTGCTCAAGTAAAATGGAAAATTCATAAACAAAGATATTCCCCAACAACAAGAGAGAGAGAGAGCAAGTTAATAAATTATGAATCTGAGTGAGGGGCATATCGAAGAAAACAACATATTATGGGAAACTATGTCAGATTTATAGACTCCTCTACTCTGTCTCATTCCAGCTTGTAAAGAGTCTTTCCTCATGCATTTTTGTACATTTGTCTGAACATAAAAGGAGATAAAATGACACAAATCTGTATGTAAATAAAAGAAAAACACACCGGCATGAAGAGTTAAAGAGACGGATGGAAAACAAAAAACTTAACGGATGAAATGATTAGTCAATTGACAGACAACCAGCAACCATTTTGATATTTAAGTTACTTTTTTCATGCAAAAATTCCCTGTTAAGTATTAATTATACAAATAATCATCAGATTAATAGATATTGGAAATAATAAGTTGCAGCTTTAACAAACCATAATTTCTAGGTCGAAATGATGAACGTAATGATTAGAGGTTCAAATATAAAGATGACTTCTAAAAGAAATGAAATCATATTTGTAGCTCTTCAACATTTCTAGCTGCACTTCTGGCTTTAATTTTTCCAAACCAAAGGCAGAGGTGAAGACAAAAATCACTTTCCATTCATTCCATCTGCTTTTTTTCTGTTATTACTCCAGTGGAAACTATAAAGCAGCAGGATGCCAAGGACAGTTCATGTGACCATTCTTGTTTTGGTAAAAATATTTTCAGTAGGAAAAGATTCAGAAATTTGACTAACTGTGTAAAACGAATCCCCTTTCCAGTTACTCAAGTTAATGTGTGTGTTTGTGTGTGTGTGCTGCATGCAAATTACACAGTGCCTATCATCCTGTCACAGTTGGCTGAAGAGTGACTCAACTCAAAGTCAAACCTGCACATTAATTTTTGTAAAACTTCCTCCTGTGTGAACAAATACGAGTAACTGCTGCTCTCCTCCTGCAGCCTGTGACACCTGACCTTGCTCCTGCAGGAGGGAATAAGTGGGGGATCCCTTCAGGAGACGAACCAGCCCCACTCTGCTTGTTATTTCAGGACGTAATCCTGTTCACTCCCATGTATGTACTATTGTGGTAGTGCATGAAGAAAAATAAATAAAACTACTAAGATAAATATTTTTTATTATCCAGGAAATGGGAAACAGGTTCAAACTGAGAACAAAGGAGACACTTAGCCGTTACTAAATATAATGTAGGTTGGCCATTTGCAGAAAAAAACAAAACAAATAGATGCTTGTTTAAGGATCAGCCTCCTGACCTCCAGCCCTTCCCAACTGGTGATGGGGATTATGGTGCAGTTTAGTGTACTGGACCTCCAGTTAATCTGAACTAATGCACATTATTTAGCTACCACTCCAGATCAGATCTCTTGATCTCAACCACACAGAGGACCCATTGACCTGCATCCCCACAACACAAGGTGGGGTTTCTCTTTTTTCTCTATCTGCAACACTGATGAAGTAGAAACACATCTGGCTGATGGTTTTGCTGAATCTTAACAACAAACCTGCTGCTTCTTTTCAATGAAGCACATTCCTGGTAGAGAACAAACTCTGAAAACTGGCAACAGGAAAAGCTGATGAAAACTCTGCAGTCAAAAATCAATGTATAATCAATGTTAATCCTTAAGATTTTCATTATATCAAACTCTATTTGATACTATTTATGGTCAGCATTTTCCTGCAATAGCCAGTATTTACATTCACTAATTACCACTTTATAAAGTAGTTTTTATTGGCACAGGCGGAGTCTGCCGTTCCTACCTGGAATCAGACTGAACTACCAAAGCACAAAGGAATCACAGGAAAACTATGCAGCATTTAATCCAGCACAGTTTTCCCTTACAGCCTCACTGTTTATGATTCACTCTCTTTGCACCATGTCAGAGCCGTATGAAGTTACTGCTTATGCAAACAGAACATCCACCAACGGGTAAAACATAGAGGCTTTTACAGTGCAGAAGCATGAAACACAACATGATTTGTGCACATCATGATTGTTCATAAAAAAATGATCCTTGCAAGGAGTAATAGAACAAGAGGTTGCAGTCATTGAGAGCTGGTCCACCAGATTACAACTTTAATATTTAGACTTTAGCTGGGATGCTGAGTATTAGGCTGATTTAAGAGTTGGGAAATTCTGCAACTTCACACAATGGCTGGGATACGTTCATGTATTATTCTAGATTCTTATTACACAAACTATGATGTGGTGACAAAAGCAAACTCAATTTTTGTTCATACAGCAGGTCTTCAGGCTTTTATCAGGGTTTTGTTTTTTGTTTTCATAGTATGAAATTAAATGCTTATAACTTGCTTTCTATTTATAGCTTATCCAGTATGATGGAGGACATGAAATACAAAAGTACCCTTAAGAGTCTGTGTAATCTTCACCGTCAGTAAACTGTAATGATGCATGACACCAAATACATATCCGGGTTGCACAGTAAAAGTAGGTAAACTGTCATCTGGCCTTCTGTTATTCTTCTTTCTACCACAGAGGGCAGTACCGAGTAATAACACTCCTTCAATGTCAGCAGGAGTTAAAGTGAAGAAATGATTGATTACAGAGAATATGATCTTCTATGAGAAAATGCCTAAGGATGATATTTAAGATAATGACAAAAACACATCTGACATAGTAGCTCTCATGGTACTGCTGTTGATTTTTTTTTTTTTTTTTCTCTCCAGTAGATACCAAAGAAAAACAAAGTTTGTAATAAACTGAGCACATGGTAGAACACTTCTGTGACCTGGCTGAAAATTTTCAACAGACATATGGGTTTCAGATAACAATGCACCTGTAAAACCTGAGAACATGTTGATTGATGATTCGTGGATTCGTGAGCATTCAGGAACGCAGACAGCACAAAATAAAAACCACTTGATGTGGTCATCTCTTTTTTCAAAGAAGAATATGGTAAGATAACGAGATCAAGAACTTCAAAAACACACAGATCCAGAGTTGAGGCTGCTTCACACAAAGGATCAGAGATAATAGCAGAACGACTTTAAGACAAGGTTGGTGAAAGCACCGTTTTAAAACCTCTGAGCAAATGCTCCCGGGGACACTTCCTTGTTTTATTACAACCATACCACCTTACCTCCGCAGAGGTTGATTTGCTGCTCTGATGATTACAGAAAAATCAATACACATTTAAAAACACAAGAGAGGAGAAAATTACTAAGCTGTTTCATTGGTCGACTGAGGGGAATGAACAGATAACAGGAAAAGGAAATCACTGGCAAATATGTTAAAAAGATGTAAATGCAGATGTGAGTGAGCCATCACGCCACACACACACACTTGAAACAAAAAAACCCCACAAAAACCATCTGATACATACAGTACAAAGTTTCTGAAA